GTTCTGTACACACACTCTGGCTGGCTTTTATCATTTTGCATTAAGTGTGAACTTTTGATTTAACTTTTTTCAGATAGGAAAGGGATGATTAATCCATCCTGTTTCAATGTGCAATAAATGCATGAATGCATCTTCAATTTTTAATGCTTATCCCATGCTTTAATTCTCCAGTTATCCTTGTACAAAGAATGTGCCTTTTGTCAATTCTGTTGCTTTTCTTGCGGTTGTTTCTTACATACTCCTCTCCTTTCTTCTGTACCCGACAAGGGGAAAATCACTTGTTAGCACTTTTTATATGCACCCGCTTTGCCATGTGCTTCTTCAGACATACAGACTTGCTCATGGTTCTCCTGATTTTATGTCTTCCAAGTCATAGTAGCAGCAATGCTTTTGTGTTGAAAGAAGCAGCATCCAGTATCTCAGCTACTACTGTACCACTGCTTTCTGCACAAGTTCACCTTTGAAATGCTAGGTTCATTCAGAATATAGAATCATAGCATGGCCCAGGTTGAAAAGGACCACAGTGATCATCGAGTTTCAACCCCTCTTCTATGTGCAGGGTCATCAACCAGCAGACCAGGCAGCCCAGAGCCACACCCAGCCTGGCCTTGAATGCCTCCAGGGATGGGGCATCCACAGCCTCCTTGGGCAACCTGTTCCAGTGTGTTACCACCCTCTGTGTGAAAAACTTCCTCCTAATATCTAACCTAAGCCTCCCCGTCCTAGTTTAAAACCATTCCCCCTTGTCCTATCACTGTCAACACTGCGTCTCCTGTTTGTATGCTCCCTTTATATGTTGTATGTACAGTATTCAACTGTAGACTTGTCAAGCTTTAGTATTTGTTGTAGGTGCAAAATGAGGCATACATTAAAATTCTTGCTGGCCCAGCACCTACATACACCTGTTCCTACCAAAAATCCGACTCTTATGTCTTGTAATTTATTTTCTGAATCTCAACTTGCAATGGAAAGGCAGCTCCAACCTGATCAGTACTGCAGTGCTGCAGAAAGCTGTGCTGCCCTGCAGTGGTGGAAGTCCTGCATTGTGAATTTCAGAGTCAGTTCCTTGGAGGAGGCAAATTGGTCAAAGTGGTTTTAATTTAAAAACTGCTGACCATTCCTTCTAACTAAACAGAGTGGTTCATTTTGATAATTTCCAGTTGAACTTGTATTTCTTGAGGAAGAAAAATCTTTGCAGTAATTGCTTTCCTGATGGTGTAGGATGTTGTGGTGGGTTGACCTTGGCTGGCTGCCCACCATGCTGCTCTCAACTCCCCTTCCTAAGCAGAACAGGGGGTTAGAGTAAGAATGGAAAACTCATGGGTTGAGATAAAAACAGAGAGATCACTGACTAATTAGTGTCATAGGCAAGCCAGACTTAACCAAGGGGAGACTAATTGATTGCCAATTATAAATAGAGCAGGATGGTGAGAAACATAGACATAACTATGTCATCTTCCCCCCACACACACACCGCCTTCTTACAGTCTTAACTTCACTTCTTTGTTCCTCACTCTTCCTCCTTTCCACACCTGCCCATCCTGTGGCAGAGGGGAGATGGGAACAGGGTTGTGGTCTATTCATAATGCTTCATCTCTGTTGCTCCTCCCTCTCCTTTTTTGGTTGCTCAATAAATGGGGAAAGATCCATGTTGGCAGTTCTTCTTGAGCTTTGCATGGTATGCAGTCTGTTCCTGCCAGGAAGAAACCCATCAACATGGGTCCCCCGTGGGCTGCAGCTCTGGCCTGGGACCTGCTTCTGCACTTTGCCCGTGGAGATGCACTTTGTGTGGTGCCCATGGGCTGCAGGGGGACAGCCTGCTCCACAATGGGCCTTACGTGGGCTTCAGGAAGCTGCTGCTCTGCACCTGGAGCATCTCTTGTACCCCTCTGCACTGACCTTGGGGGCTGTAGGGCTGCTTCTGTCTTCCTGGTTTCCCCATCCCTTACTCCTCTCACACAGCAGCAGCTGTGTGGTGGTTTTTACCCTTTCTTAAATGCACTCACAGTGAAGCCATCAGAGCGAGTGCGTGGTGTGGCTCTGGCCATCTCACAGAGGCCACTTCTGCAGTCCTCTTCTACCAAAACCTTGCCGTGTAAATGCAGATGCTCCAAGTTGGAGCTTGGTTGCCAGGAGCTTGTTTTGTGTGTCAGTAGGACATGTCAGCCAAACAGTTCAACTTTGACCATAATGTACAAGTTTGCCTTAAATTATTTCTTAGTGCTCTAAATGGGACTATGTCACCATATTCTAATCAAATTTTAACCGAGTTGATCTGATCTGACAGCTGTCTGACACTGGAAAGGGGAAGTTTTGATCCCCAGTTCCCTTAATTCCTGTTCCTTCCTTTGAATGGGCTCTGATGCATGTCACATGCTTTTCAAAACCAATTAGGCTTTTTTGGGGGGGAGGGTTGGTGAGTTTGACTGGTCCAGGAAAGCACTGAATGCTGTCAGAGTATTCTTAGAGTGAAGACAGCAAGGTTCCTGTCTGCTGTGGTGAACTGTTAAGATAAATGTCTGCATCGTGTATAGCATCCCGTCTGGGAGCTGTAGTGGGGGATCTACATCAAACAGCAAGAAGAGTGAACTTGATCTTATCTCTGTTTTTGAGGAGATCTAGACTTACTGTCTTGACAGTATACTAAGAAATATAATAGGAATTGGAGAAGTGTCACATTTTCATGGGAATATTAGAAAAAGTTACTTAACTGAGTTTTGTTCATCCCCCAACTTTCTCACTATCTGCTTTTACTACAAGTGTAAGCAGAAGTAATTTCAACTGCCCTGCAGATGTCTGTACAAAGAGAAGACAAACAGCATTGGCTGCTGTGTAGCTATTGAATTGCATTGCATATCATGCCTGTCAAGTGCCTTCAGTTTGTGTGTTGGAAGGCGAGGTGACACTGGTACTGGTGGCGTGCATAATGGATGATGTGGGAAGTGAGCTCAGCAGCTTCACCCAGAGATGTGCAGGTGAAAGTTGAAACAGTAATTAAATCTCGCGATGGTTTGTTGATGACCTTTTATATTGAAATACACTTGTCTTTGTTCCTGCTTCTTATAGCTGAATAACAAAAGTTGATGTTTGAACTGAAAACTTTAAGTTGCAGTTGTCAGCTCTTTGGCCTTAAATGACCTTTTTCTTTCAGTAAAGAAAAGTGGATAATTGCATCATTTAGGGCTTTCTTTTTCAGGCTTAGTGTCTCAGATATTTCTTAAAAGCTGTTAACTTTCTGGTGAAATGTCTGGTTATGTTCATTTGATTCATTTTCCCCATTTCCTAAAGTAAAAGTTGTACTGCGTGCATTCTTTACAAAAACTAGTTGGATGAAAGCGTACTGAAGGATAAGCAAAAACCTGTAACTTACGTTGTCATCTTGAAATGTGAAGCAAGGGGTATGGAATGGGTTGGGGTATGTGGGGGCATGGGAGGGTGAGTTTATTTCACGTTCCAGTTTTCTTTCATTGTAGAATGACATTGATTTAGGTGTGTAAGTCTCAACTGTGGCAAGTTATGCTGTCCTCTTGTGGAACGTGCTGCTGTACTGTCTCTCCTTGCAAATTCTGATCAGTTCTGTTGTTACAGTTCTGAGGAGTTCTATGTTTTATATATGAGGTTAGTAGGAAAAAAATGCCTCACTTGGATTGCACGGTTCAGGAAGGCAAACACTGGGAGGAAGTATTTCAGACTAGTAAAATGGGGTGGGGGCAAGGTAATGGTAGAGAAAAGTTTCCTTTATTTTTATTTTTGCGTTCTTGGCTGCGTTTGCATTATCTTAAAAAATAATAATAATAATAATTATCCCAACACGTGTCATTTAGTTTTATTCACTGTTGTCTGATTTTATTAATTGCTTTATGTTAATAAAGCTTTCAATCTTGAAGTAGAAGAGTAATGTGCATCTTCTTTCTCTACTGCAATAGAAGTTTGCATAGTTCAGGATGGATTAAGTGACTGAAGTGATTGAAGCACAAGTTAAGGGACTGAATAGCTGAGTTGTTTTTAGAACTGGAATTTAGGAATAAGGTATTGTTGCTTATTTGCACTTATTTGTTTAAAAACTTGGGTTTATGGTATAGAGGAAAGGTTTCCAATGAGCTTGCTTTGTTCCTGTGCCTACTGTATTCCCTTACAGATTGCTTATCTAGATTATTATCACTCTCTTCAGGGTGCAATAAAACTTTCTGAAAATGCGATATCTGCAAATTAAAATAGGTGATGCATAATACTTCTGAAGCACTGCTCCTTTAGACTTCTGGGGAAATTATGCTCTGTTTCTCACTGATGACAGGTGACAGAACGAGAGGAAATGGCCTCAAGTTGCACCAGGGTAAGTTTAGGTTGGATATCAGGAAAGACTTCTTTACAGAACAGGTTGTTAAGCACTGGAATAGGCTGCCCAGGGAGGTGATCGAGTCACCATCCCTGGATATGTTTAAAAACTCTTTGGATGTGGTGCTCAGGGACATGATTTAGCAGAAGGTTGTTAGAGTTAGGGTAGCATAGTTAGGTTGTGGTTGGACTTGATGATCTTGAAGGTCTTTTCCAACCTGAGTGATTCTATGATTTAATTATTTAGAAAACATGAAGTTCACTCTAGATGTCTATATTCAGTGAGTGTAAGGTCTACGCTGGCTGGAGCTTATTGTCAACAAGTGACAGTAACAGTTCAAACAAGCTACTTGGTTGCATCTCTAAGTGTGATGATCAAATACATTCAGGAATGAAGGGTTTGCACTTTTCAGTTGTGTATGTTTTGGACGTTCTATTTTACTGTATGGCAGTCTACTTGAATGTCAAAACCATTGCTGCCAGCCAAAATCTGAAGAAAAAGTGTATTTTGTCAATTTGCTACTCGCTTATATAGTTTTTTCTGTAACATTTTAGTGGGATTTTGGCCCTTCAAATTGTTACAGTTGCTTTTAAAAGCAGGACTGAAAAGGTAAGCATAAAGTAGATAATTAATAGTGACTCTTTTTTTCTTTTTTCCTTCACAGTTTTAAAATTGTGAAATCATGGCTCATTCAAAGACGAGAGCCAATGATGGGAAAATCACATATCCTCCAGGGGTCAAAGAAATCTCTGATAAAATATCTAAAGAAGAGATGGTGAGAAGGCTAAAGGTTAGTAAAAACGCTACCAGTAATTCTGTGATGTTTATTTATGTTTTCTTTTGGGCAAAACGTTTTCTGTGCTCGGAAGGAGGATCTTGTTGGCTATTGTGCCTTCTGCTGATTGCTTTCTTGCAATAACTGGTCCAAATATATTTTAAAGAGTTTTTTTTTTTTTTTTTAAAAGAAAATTAATTTCAAATACTTAAATTTTATTTCACCTTGTATAGTAAGTCAGTGCTTTTAGAGATGAAAATATTGGAAAATGAGAAAAGGGGTAGGTCTTAATTTTGGAAAGAATGTGGATACATCAGAATAAATTCCATACTTGCATTTGTGCTCCTTGCAAGGTTGATGATAGAACCTGCTTTATAGAGGCTAATATGAGAATAATAAAGTCTTTGATTATTAGTGTAAATGTATACTAAGTCTCCTGATTTTCTTGACCAGTTTGTTTGGCCTAACCCTACAGAAAGAATAGGAATACTTGGTGGATAATGATGTTGCTCCTGTTCTTTATCTGCCCACGTACTTTGACAGAATGGCAGACTTATTAGTGTTATGCAGAGGTGAAGCCCATCATTTGGGCTTGACCTGAGAAACAGGAGGAAACAGGTCTGGGAAAGGTACCTTACACATTCTATGATTTGGAAAAGCTTAATTTGGAATTTTCTTAAAATGTAAGTTGCTTGCTATTACTAGTAAATGAACAAAACCCCAAAGTACAAGGATTCCTTCCTCCACCTTTAACTCTTCTTTTCCTTGGGAATTTAATTGAGGGTATTATAGTGCATTCTACAAGGTTTAATAGAATACAATGTTCATAATTTCTCCTGCTGGGAGTTAATCATAGATAAAGATGATAGTGCTGACATTTCTTTTTTAGCTCTTAAAAATGGCTACAGTTCTTACTGATATTTTTTCTCTTATATTTTCATTTGCTGGCTTCGTATTTCTAGTCCTTGTACTGTCATTTTGCAGGATAAGTGTATGTTGCAGGATGTCATGTTTCTTGTCCAGCTGCTCACACTGGCTTTGCATTCATGGTTGTGCAGAGTGAACCACATGTCCTCCTTTTACTGAATTGGATGATCCAGGCTATTGAAAACACCACAAGTTTGTACACATACATTATAAACATAGTTGCAGGAGCTAGGGAAAACAAGTTTACAGATAAAAAAGACTGTTAACCTCCTCATTTCCCTCTCTGTTGAATTCACATAAGTATGGGGGAAGAAGCTCTTCTCTGTAGATTTTGTGATTCCAAGCAGGTAATTTGCTATTTGTTAAGTGAAAGCAATCCATTTATCTAAACACAAATTATTGTGCAGTCTGAGAGTAAAATATGCAGAATGAATTCATGTATTAGCATAACTTGGCAAGTTTTATGCATTGCTGATCAACCTGTCCTCCAAGTTATAGTGATTTTGGAGAGGACAAAGGAAAAACAAATGCTCAGAGGTAGGGACTGAAAAGGCAAAGGTGATAAATGTTTTTGGAAATGGTGAATATTGTGAGGAAAGTTTTTCTTAATATGCAAGAGCTAAGGGGTCATGTCATGAGTCATATATTTTAGACCAGCAATCTAATAACATACTTCTCCATAAATTATTTGAATGAAATGATAAAGCCTGTTACTGTAGGGAGGATGTAGGAGCCAGTAAAACTGAGTGGGTGAAGAAATGTGGACCGTGTGTGGAAGCTCCAGGAGCCTTAATCAAGGTGGTCTGGGTACAATATCAGGCTCAGGAATTCTGTAACTCATTGCTGTGCCAGAAACTAGAAAAGCATGCTAAGAAAACTTACTTTGTTTTCCTTAAGTGCTGTGACAGATTTGCTCTGGAGGAAAGCTGACTAATTTTTTTGATCAATATGGAATTTCATCTTGTCAGGGAAGAGAAATGGAAGGTTCATTTCTAGAATGACAAAATCTGTGCTTGTTGCAGGAACACTTGTGACAATTGAGTATTCATTTGTTACCTTGTTAAATATATAAATTTAATTACTTTCCATAGAGGTGAACACAATTTTCCTTTGCTGTTTGTAAAATTACTTCTTATATTATTTAAGGGTGTTGAAAATAGTAGGAAGGGAAAAAAAAAAAAGAAAACTGGAAGAGAATAAAGGGGAAAAAATACGTTGGAACCTTAAATACTTAAGGGAGAAATGCACAATTTGAATAAAGGTTTGCTGTTCTCCAAATTGTTCAGTAACTCCTTCTGTATCTTTTGATTTCTGGTTGATTTGGTGACATATTTGCTTAAAGTATATGCAAAAGCCTACTGCTGGACTTTTGTCACCTTTGAGGCTGTCTCTTGGGACAGTTGGCAGAGAATTTGACTAATACTTCTCATACCCTGAAAAATAAGGCACTGGGTTTACTACTGTTATTTGAACAATTACTGCTGCATTGCTTCTGATGGATGTTGTGCATTTTGCCATCATGTGTATTGAAGTGTTTTTACACTTTCTTTATAGATGGTTGTGAAAACTTTCATGGATATGGACCAGGACTCTGAAGAAGAAAAGGAGCTGTACCTAAATCTTGCTTTACACCTTGCTTCAGATTTCTTCCTCAAGCATCCTGATAAAGACGTACGTTTGCTGGTAGCTTGTTGTCTTGCTGATATTTTCAGAATTTATGCCCCTGAAGCTCCATACACTTCACCAGACAAACTAAAGGTAAATGGAATTAATCTGTTTTATTTTCCATGCCTAATTTTTCAACTGAATAATTAATGTTTGGTTATAACTTCTTTTGCTCTATTTACTTCTGATTCAGCCTGAGCTGTCCAGGACTTTCACGTGATCCTTGAATGAGGATATTCTGTGAGGTCAAAAGCTCATTGGATAAAGTGATATATAGTATAGCTTTCAATAACTCACGGGGTTTTGGATTTATATTGGAAATAGATGTTTTACTGAACTGTCTTTAGGACTCATTAGCACTGGGCTGTTACTTTAGAATTAGTCTTCTGTCTATAGCTTTTATTGTGATATCTTTCAAGTTAGCTAATGCTTTCACTCAGAAAAACACGTCTGCTGTTTCCAGTTCAACTTTGAAGAGATGGTTACTGATTTCTTTCTATGTACGCTCTATTGAAACAAAAATACTTCTGTCTAGAGAGAAGCTTTCTGGTGTGAATTGGAAAATGCAGGAATTACAAACATTGCTGATCCCACTAGATGGAGATGGTTGATTGAGAAATGCCAACTTTGAAAAGGCAATAGATATCTGCCCTGTTTGTTTCAGGACTTTTCATTTTAGGTTGCTTTTTTGTTTCATTTTCAAACTTTTATTTTAATAGATGTTTACTTTTCTTACTGGCTTAGAAAATCAAACCCACTTTGCTTATACAATCTGAGTCTAGACTAATGAAATTACTTATACAGAAAATATTGCAGGGGAAAATAATGCTGAAAACCATCATATTTTATCTCCCTGACTTACGAGTGTAGTACAGACACACTCCTCCTCCATGGCAGGATAAAAGAACAGTTGGGGTGGAAGGTGTGCCTGTTACAGTGGGAGAAATCACTCTGTTTCTTATCTAGTGCTTATGTTGAAAGTGCTTCTTAAGCAAGGTCAACATTGCAGTTGCAATTGAAATTGATGCTTTCTTACCTGACATGCTGGAGAGAAACCTGGGGATTTTTACAAGCTGTATTTTTCTGAATTGTTGTGTCTCTGCTCATACTTACGAGTTACCTCTTTTATTGATTATCATCTCTAGCTTCAGACAAACACAAGCTTTCTCTACTGGACTTTGTCTGATGTTAAGTTTCCCAGATTTTCAGTTCAGTTTTGAGTAGTGTGTTTTCCTTTGCTTGCTTGTTTTGTTTTTTTTTTTTGTTTGTTTGTTTTACTTCAGAGTTTGGCTAACAAATGATACTAACCCTCCATACAGAATTTCATCTGTCAAGTACTACAATGATTTACATTTTATTATTGGGAAGTTTACATTACTGATCTTTTATTTACAGTGTAATCATGCTACTAGTACTTAGATCTCTGAATAGACTACAAGCTTCCTCTGTCAGCAGCCAGTTCTGTAATCTCTGTAGATTTTAGGATTCAGTCTCCTGATGCAGGTTTCTAAGTGCATTTTGAGAAATAAAGACAGGACAAATGGTAGACCTTTGCCTGGGACTGTTGAGGTAGGTTATTGCAAACCCCAGTTTCCGCTGAACACAGCTTTTGTGGTTGCAGGACAAGCTCTGATAAATATGTTGAAGAGTTCCCTCCACCTTAAGACAAAGAGGTAAGAGGAAGAACACTTCCTCTTAGGTTATATCTTGGCACTATTTTTATGTAGTGTTTAACATCATGCCCGTAGTGCAGCTTTCAGAATCTTCTTTTGTAAGTATAGCATCCAAGTTGAAGATGGAAAAAGGGAAGTGCTGAAATGGTTAATTTTTGGAGAGGGGAAAGTTTTTATTCTGACTTCATACATCTCTATCTCATTTGCACAATGTGTAAGCTACACAGAATAGGGGTCACGATTTGTGGTTCCCCTCTGTTATGTGTATCCTCAGCATAAATCTTTAATGCCTCAATGAGTGTTGAAAGGTCTTTAACAATAGACTTGGAAAATGCCATGAACTGGGTAAAAGCAGAACTGGAGCTGAACTGTTCCTCCGGGATATGAAAACTTTTAAGTGAAGGCTGGGGAAAGCCTGGAGCCCAGTTCTAATTTTCTGGGGTGGAGGTATTCTAATCACTGGCTTGTGTCAAAGGAAACTGCTTAGGCTTATGGATGGTGTGCTTGACACAACTAAAATGGAAATAGGTGAGGGTGTATATAGCAGCAGAATGTCGAGCATCTGAATGTATTCTGTTTCGCAGACTATGGCTCTGATGTACACTGAAGCCTTTGTATGGTTAATTTGTATCAAGACAACAAACCACAGAAAACATCTGATACTCTTCCTAAAGTTGAAGCATGCACACTTGTGGTTTTGGAGTTTGGGTTGTAATGTGTGCTTGCTTTACAGATGTGATGTGGAGGAGTAGTGACAAATCTGTGGAAGTGTTGTGATTTCTTAGCTGCAGCCAAAGTTGATTAATCTTGTGCTTTATTTGTACAAATGTGTGTTCAAATACTGTTCTCTGTGCTCAGAAAAAGCAAAAGCTTTGGATCATGTAACACCGGGTACTTAAAATTAACAGATACATTTCAATTTAGTCTGCCTTTTAAAGCAGGAATTGAGGGGGAAGAAAAAATGGATTTGTTAGTTTTTCAGACTACACCTTTATTATTTGTGAAGTGTTCAGATGTTAGACTTGTTGCACAGTAGTCATTAGTGTATATATTCATATACAGTGCAAACAAAACCAGGAAAACTAGTTTTGATCTTGTTACTGTCTGCGAGTTACATTTACTGAATGCTGCATACTGAGCTGCAGGATTAAAAATGCAGATTCTTTGCTGAATTAACACAACTTTTACAAGTAATGTTTCAAAAAGAATAATCATTATACATAAAGCTTTATCTCTAAAATGAAGTAGTTCTTATACTTGGCTTTCTCCTAGATGCTCCTTTTCTTGTTTGGTTGAATCCTAACCTTCCCTGAGATTCAGTTTGTGTGGCTGCCAGACTTCCCAGTGCCTTCTGGCCAGTCAGTTCTTTAGATAATAGAGCTCAATGCCTGTGGGCTACTGGCCTAATAGTGCTTCAGGCACTGCTTTTAGGGAGGGGGAGTTCTTCAGGCTGGTCTTTGTCTATGGACTGAATGCTTTTTAGTGGTAGGAGTCCACGAGGTGTATCCTTTGAACTGCATATTCTGGTTTAACTTCAACCACAGAGTGTGATTCATGTGCTCTGTAACTGATTCGAAGCGTGAACCAAATGGCAAGTCCTCTGATCATCCCTAGTTAACACATCAAAGCTACAGCCTTCTTGAATTCCACAAAGCTGCATCTTTGGGCCACGTGTTTGATGTATTTTTAAAATTATTATTTTGATTTTTTTTTTTTTTACCAAGTGGTAGTGATGTGTATGCTAATTCCTGTATATTACCTAGAGCAGTAAATGCTTGACTTATCTATTAAGGTTGGATTTTGTGCTTGTAGCCTTAAAAAGACGGAACTATATTCTCATCTCCACTCCATCTCATCATTCTTGGTTGGGGGGCAAGGTGGAATGGTCATTTGAAAACATAACAGAAAAGCTTTCTAATCTTAAGTGGACAGCGTGTGTGGGACAGGCTCATGAGCTTTCCTTGTGTATTTATACAACTTACTGTGAAAATTGCTTATAGATCACAATTCCTTTCTTTTAAGGCAACTTTTCATGGTTAACTGTAAGGCTTTCATGTATTTATAATGACAACTTTACAACTTAATTATGAAGTGTATACCCAAATTATTAGGAATACGCTTGGGGCTGTGAACACTGTTGCTGGATGATGATGATGATGTGTACTTACCAGTCTTTTGATTTAAAATAGTAGCTAGGAATTTCTAGCTATTCCTTATTCAAATATAAAAAGCAGTTTAAAAGGACATCTTTCTCTGTCTCCAGTTTGTTCATAATTGATTACTTGTTCCTTACAACCTGCCTAGGTTTATTTTGAGAGATGTTTTTTGATGTTTTCTGTGCTGAAAATAGATACAGAAAGCAGGAGAACTTTGTTGTTTTTGCCAGTCTTTTAGAGAGGTGTCATCTGTCAGTAGCACTGAGATGGAAAAATGCATGAATGCTGTAGTATAAATGTATTATATTATAGTACTCTTAGGAAAGCTCCAGTTGGCTACTACTTTATTTCCTCTTTTCTCCTGTTTAAACCCATTGCAGCATAAGGTAAAAATTTTAAAATTCATTGTCCTTGTGAATAACATTGACTTCCGTGGCAAGTCAGCCAACTGCAGCTTTACTTGTCAAGTTGTCTGTTTTTAGTTGGAAAAGAAAAACCTTTTGCTTTCTCAAAAAAATAAAACTTCCTCAATTATTTTTGTAAAAAGTTTGAAGCATTTTAAGATTCCTCCTTGAGATATTTTGTGTTTTTTTAGGACAGTAAAATAGTGTCTCTGTCGTTACGACGTATTTTGTAGTGAAAAATAGTATTAATAATTTCAAAAGGTAGTTTATTATAGTTTTAAAAGTTTCATTTCATTTGATTAAATGTGACTTCTTTTCTTTTCAGGATATATTTATGTTCATAACAAGGCAACTTAAGGGTTTGGAAGATACAAAAAGCCCCCAGTTCAATCGATATTTTTATTTACTTGAGGTAAGTTTGATAACTTAATATAAAGTTTAAACGCTATTTTTAAACACAATCTTAACTGCTCTATTTTTTCCCTTTTCAACTTAGAACATTGCTTGGGTGAAGTCTTATAACATATGTTTTGAGTTAGAAGACAGCAATGAGATTTTCACACAACTGTACAGGACACTGTTTTCAGTAATAAAGTAAGTATTGTCACAAATATATTATTGCATGGTTGAGAAGTTGTTTTCAACTTAGATGTTCAATCTGTTGTTAGGCTTTAAGCATTCACAAGCTTAATTTTTATAACCCCCTCCAATTCTGTTTAACTGGAAGTAGCTGTCAGTTCCACGCACTTCAATTAAACAAGATACACAGCAAATTCTTTTCTTCTGAGAAATTTGCATGCATTTTCTCTTACTGCATTTATTTTACCCTTTTCTTGAAACTGAAGGTGAACGATACAATATACAGTTCTAAGAGACCTGGAGGATTCTTGCTGTAAAAATGTGTTACAGAGGATAGTGGACACTGGAAGGAGCAGTTGGAAATCATCTAGTCCACCCCTCCCTACTCAGCAGGCTCAGCTAGCCCAGCTCGTCTTCAAAGATGGAGGGTCTGTGGCCTCTTGGTGCAAGCTGTTAATAGTGTTCATTCACACTACCAGGAAATTAATAAAATATCATATGTTTAAATATTGAATGCTATTTAAATGGTAACACGTTGTTCCTATTGCTTTTTGTCCTGTCACTGGGCATTACTGAGATGAGTCTGGTTTTGTCATCTTTACTTCCTAAATCAGGTATTTAAATATAACAGGTTCTCCCTGAACCCTTGTTTCTTGAAGCTGAAGAAAAAGCCATCTCTCAACTGCATCTTTTATGAGAGCTGTTCCAGTCTGAAATCATGTTTCTGGCCCTTTCTTGGTGTGACTCCAGTGTATCTATGTCTCAGCTCTGGACACAGTGCTGCAGATGTGAACTCAACAGTGTTGAGTAGAGGAGAATACCTTCTTTGTATTCTGTCTTATTCCTGTGGTAGGGACTGATACAGTCCTTCCTGGTATAGTTTAAGCTAAGAGGACATGAGATTTGAGAATGCTATAAAAAGTGCTTTATGCAGTCCAGAAACTTCTGTAGTTTGACTTCGAAGAACACTTGTAATTTGATTATTATTGATATTCCATGGATTGTTTTCTTCTGGTATTATCTTGGAGAATATTCTGATTAGAACTTTGTCCTTTCTGTGGATAGTACACTGAGAATTCTTGTTTTTGATTTCAGCAACGGACATAACCAAAAAGTACATATGCACATGGTTGATCTAATGAGCTCTATCATCTGTGAAGGAGATACTGTGTCACAGGAACTTCTGGATACAGTGTTAGTTAATCTAGTGCCAGCACATAAGGTAAGAGCTACTGTTTTGTAATTGTTTTTAAGATTTGTCTTATATTCGGATATTTAGATTTTTGCTGATGGAATAGCTATAGCAAGTATGCTCCTATTATTTGATATAATTTTTTTGTTAGCCAATTTTAATAACTGTAAAATTTAGCATCACTTTATTGCTTTGATTCATGTGGCATAAGCCAAAGTAATAGCAGTTAAAGTAATTTTAAAGCTTTAATGTCATATGAATTTATGCATAGTTTATGATACATGGCCAATGCTGCCAGACATCTATATGGAAGGTACATGTGTCCTTGGGAAAGCTTTTAATTAGTGTGATGCTGTATCAGCCATTCAAAACATTGTGCTGTCCTGAGCAGGGGGGTCATTAGAAGCACATTGGCAAGTTTTTGACACAGTCATAGAAATAATCATATTCAGAAACAGTGGCTGTCTTTACCTTAATGAGTAGTGGTGGTTGGTTTTCAAATAAAAAATATATTTTTTAAAAAATTTACAGTTAACTGTGAGAAGCAATTAACTGTAGACCTTTAACAGATCTTTTATTCTGAAAACTAGCCAGGTCTTATTGAAATCTGTTGGGTTACAGCCAAAAAGACTTGTAAGATTCTGAGAACTTCTGGGAAATTATGTAGGAATTGTGTACTTAGCAGGATTTGGGATAGCTTTTGGGATAGTGTCACCTGACAGCTTGTTTTTTGAAATACTTTTCTTATCCTGAAAAGTGAATTCAGAGAAGATGCTCATTTTTTTAATTGTTACTTCTAAAAAGCGTTAGAAGTTAGAGTTGAGTGAATTGAGTGGATATGAACTGAGGAATGTTGATGTATCTGGAGAATCTGAATAAACTTTCTGTTAAGATGCTCAGTGTTTCGTGCAGCACATGATTTATTTTTCTGTTGACAATGAAAGACTAACTATTTAGCATACTCTTGGGTCTTGTTTCAACTGGAGAAGTTTTTTAGCTGTGTCTTCCAGGGCGTACATTTGTGCCAGGAATTAAAATTGTGTGGCTAAAACTCAGATTCACAAAATAAAACCTTGGAATACAAGAAACAAAAGCAGGACTGTGCAAAGTATTTCAGTTTGCATTGTTTCAGTTGTTAAACATTTGCTATTTGTTTCATGGTGCGATGTGTGTTGAAATGATTTGACTGCACTGTCCTTATGATTCAAGTTTATTAAACTGATTTTTGAGTAATTTGTATGCTGTTGGTTTGGCTCCAGTGTTGAAACGGTTTTGTTTCATAATAGATTTAAAGTTATTGACTGGGAATGTTTTAATAGGAAAGGCAATTGGAGCTCTGTATTTTCTCTTATCTCTGATTAAAACTTTGGCTGCTTGGATGGGACACTTGTTCATGGGTTGCTTTTTAACCTGAAGCAGTTTTGTAATTCTAGTCCGTGTTCTGATTACTTTAAACTTAAGGTTTTTTTAACCTTTTTCATGTTAATGGAAGGAAGTTTCTTGTATTTTTGTTTCATCTCCGTTTTTGTGTATAACAATGGAAAATTTTAGGGTTTGTGTAGTGGCTACAGAAGGTGGTTAAGTGCAAGTGTGTAATGAATTAATTCATTGTGAGAATCTTTCCACTAATGAAACATCAGAGGGATTAGGTTTCAGGCCTGCCAAAGGCAAGAGTTTTGACTGGTCTATCTTTTGGGCTGTATGGGTTATAGGAGGGGGAAAGTCCAAAACCAGATTGCCCACAAAAAATGACACAATGGGAAGCGTTGGTGTAGTGGTAAATAGTAAATCCTAATCTGGTTGGTTTCCTGGGAACCAAAAGAATATTTTTGATGGAATGAGTGAAGCATAGAGTTGTTACTACCTCAGATTTGAAAATGATTAGGTGAGGAATTGTTGGGTATAAGACAACTATGTTAATGGTAAATGACATGGGCAAACTGTGTATTTTCAACACAGCCAGAAGGATGGTTGTACATGTGAGGGACTGTGGAGTGAATTGAATGATTGTACTGTGGAAAAACAATGGTATTGGTAGTATGACTTCAGGTGTATATGCAGTTCCACTGGGTAGCACTAAGTTGAAAACTTAAGGAGCTTGATCTTTGTATTTTAGCAAAGGAGCCTTCTTTGTTTTTTGGGAAGAGAAAGTTCACACAGTTTCTGTAGTTATGAACCCTGGATGCTAAGGTCCGGTGGCTGGGTTTTGATTCTAAAATTACCTGAACGTTTTTAAGAGTTATAGTAATTAAATTACTAATTTACTAAAGGTTACTTCACTTACTGGTACTTAAAAATCAAGATGAATGCTTTTTTTTTCCTAAGAGAAGTGCTGAATACAAGCTGTAGTTCTGTGTAGCGAGTAATAAACAGCGGTGCTAGCAGGATGACTGCAAAATTCAGGCAGAAGAGCACATATTGAGAATGGGGCATATTATCAAATGTCTCTCCGTTGTAATTAGTAATCACTGAAGTAGTCTCAGATGTTCCATCTGACTTGAGCAAATATCAGATAATAAAACAACACAATTTGTTGAACTGTTGCCCAGCTCTGAATTTCTTTGCTGTTTAACCATCTTTTTCTGGTTTGGCTCTTCTTTCTTTCTCCAAATTCCATTGAAATTCTTTTGATAGGATTACATTGAGAGGCAATGAAGTAAATAGTGAACTAAACCCAGAAAATATTGGAACCAAGGGAGAAGTAGTCAATAAAAAATGCAAGACAAATTAATAGTTTTTTAATTGCCCTTTGCAGATTATAAAGCCTTTATATTAGCACCTGTAAACAGTTCTGTGTTTGTGCAGTGTTAGCAGGCAAATTGTACTTCATTTCCTGGAGTGTTTAACGGTGTTCCATTTTCAGCCTCAGGAGTGCTACAGGGAATCCCACACTGCACATCTGACATGATTAACATGCTTAGCTTCTCAGAAAAGTGATATTGACAATTAAATTCCTAACTGTCTCTATTAGAAACTTAATAATTAGTACTATCTTTCTTGTCAACACCTCAGCTGCTTTTTCTGTATTGTTAGCCACTCTTAAAAACCTGTCTCCTCCTTCTCCCTCAGAAGAACTAGAGGATCCATTTAAACTCGCTTTGCAGAGTGCTCTTGGATACAATTTCCCCTGCCGTGTCCTTGGTTAGTGGGAATAAAATTGAATACCCTTTTCAAATTAAAAGAAAAAATACTTTTTAAAAGATGTATTTCTTTAGGAATATTTGCTCTAGATATACAGCCTTAACTCTAGGAATAAAATTTAGATGTTATAAAAAGTAAGGATTAGATTGATGCCAGCTACACTTCCTTTTTGAAGAAAAAGATGAGTGGCCTACATTTCTTTTCTCCTTTTAAAATATGAGTACAAATTATTTCATTCTTAATTGCTTTGAGCTGTGTTAAATTGAACTTGATGAGACAACTGGAAAAGGTGACTGGGGAAAAAAAATCAGTTGGTCTGTATTTCTGCCACTGCCAAATCCATTGTATCTACATGACTGGTTTTTGGCAAACTGTCCTGGAGAGCCTTGCCTGTATAACCACAGAAATGTCCCTGCCATGCTGTGAGAGAGCCTGCTGTCGTCTTCTGTCTGTGGCACAAGTTAGCCAGACATTCTGGGGAGAACAGGTATAAAAAATTGCGTGACAAAACTTGAGTTTTACTTGTGGAAGATATTGATGCCATATGAGAGTTTAGGTAAGGAAAAGAAGGAAGGTTAGATTTTGCCTTATGGTGTTTCTCCTTTGTGAGAAGGTTAAACGCTCATGAGAAGATTGAAGTACCTTTATGGCTATTAAATATGGTTATTAAATTAGTTAACAAGATAGACTTCTTGAACATCTTCCAACCAATTTTGTTTAGGCCTGGTTTGCTTATGTTTTAATTTCAACTGGGGCAATGCTGCTTTCCTGGTTTTGCTTATATCCTGAAGCTGTAAAAGGGAGGAGAATGCTTCTTCCTGTGCTTTTAAGACAATTGTATAGAATCATAGAATCGCAAGGTTGGAAACAACCTTCAAGATCATCTAGTCCAACTGTTCTCCCATCACCATTGCTACCACAAGCCTCTAAACCATATCTTGTAGCTCCTCATCCAGACGCCTCTTGAACACTGCCAGGGATGGTGACTGTCCTGGAATGCTCCCTGGGCAGCCATTCCAGTGCCTGACCACACTCTGAGAGAAAAAGTTCTTCCTTATGTCTAACCTAAACCTCCTCTGGTACAACTTGCAGCCATTTCCCCGGGTCCTGTTTGTTGCCTGGGAGAAGAGGCCAAACCCCCTCCTCATCACAGCCTCCCTTCAGGAGATTGTAGAGTGCAATGAGGTCTCCTCTGAGCCTCCTCTTCTATAGACTGAACAATCCCAGCTCCCTCAGCTGCTCCTCATAAGACTTGTGCTCCAGACCCCTCACAGGTTTTGTTGCCCTTCTCTGGACACATTCCAGGGCCTCAATGTCTTTTTTTGGCCCAAAACTGAACACAGTACTTGAGGTGTGGACTCACCAGTGCTGAGTACAGGGGGATGATCACCTCCCTGCTCCTGCTGGCCACAATATTTCTAATGCAGGCCAGGATGCCGTTGGCCCTCTCATCCACCTGGGCACACTGTTGCCTCATGTTCAGCTGAGCATCAGCCAACACTCCCAGGTCCCTTTCATCTTCACAGTCATTCAGCCACTCATCCCCAAGCCTGTAGTACTGCATGGGGTTGTTGTGGCCAAAGTGCAGGACCCGGCACTTGGATTTGTTGAACCTCATCCCATTTTGTCATTTATTTTCCAAAAATACAGCTTTTGGACATTTGAGGACTCAGGCTATCAGCAGAATTAAATTCATGAGGCTTGGAGGAAAAAGATAGTTCTTCAGCAAAAAACTTTCCTTTGCCTGTTTGCAGCTGTATTTATTTATTTATTTTTTAGATAGAATGGAGTGTAATGTGAGTAACTTATTCAGGGTTGGAAACTGCTACTTCTAGCTCTTCTCCCAGTACGATAATGTTTGCTGGGATATCTTTTGTCTGATATTTAATGGCTTAATTATGAAAGTTCTTTTAGACTCCCTTTCCTAAGGCTGCTTGCAAGAACTTAAATTTTCAGAATTTTTGTTATTAGTAGTTGTGCAAATGGCAGCTTCCTTAATATCAGCTGCTGTGTGAAAGATACAAGTGGAAAATGTCATTAGTATAAATCAAAACAGATCTGCCTCTTGGAACTTTGCTGTGCTAAGTCTGCAGTTCAGACCTGTTTTGCATGTAGGTGAGATCCTGCTCAGGATATGGTGTTCACTCTTCCAAGTGAAAGCTGCTGTCTTGGCTTTGGTGTGGTGAACTGTGACAATCAAGAAGGATTGGAACAGTAACTGCCAGTGGCATACAGTTCTTATTATGGCTGTGTATGTGTTTTATTTCCTGAAGAGTCACAATTCTGATAAGATAATAAAAAGCAGATACTACAGGTGAGAATATTAATATTTTCTTATTTTTTTTTCACATTAGAACCTCCTCTTTTCTGACACTTGGAATAGTGACAGATTTTGTAAAAAGACTGCCAGTGTTGACTCTTATGTCCCTTTTCATGTAAGAGATGGGGAAATATTGCAAGGATTGAAACTAAGAATGATTATTTTTCTTCAGGAGAAGTACTCAAAATTTTAAATTGCGACTAAAAAAGACTGAAATGAAGCCTTTCATTTTCAGTGTTTGGCAACCTCTGAGATATCTCATTTTGAGGCCAGTGTTAGAACCATTTGCTTTGTTTTGCTGAGAGTTCTGATCATCTTAGGATATTTTCAACATGTCTCTTAAACTGCAGTAACTTTAACAATAAGCTATGGCTTTCCTTTGGTTACCTTATAACTGATACACCTGAAAATATCTCCACTAATGGTGACTGGTAAGTCACTCTACAGAATCATGAAAATATTAATAGCGAAGAGCACTTGATTGCTGAACGGCTTCTGTTACAGCGTGACTTCAATTTCATCTCTCTTCTGTTCCTGGTGTGATGTGATAGCGATGTTTCAGTCTTCCTGTAGCTGATCTGTTTCTGCAAAAGCGAGGAAGTAGTGTGGGTTTTATTTCTCACTGATATTCACTAGGAGGTAGGATTCACTGCAGCCTGGGCTGTGGTGATTCCTTTTTGTTAGCATTTTCTGTAAGAGTTCTAGTACCTTTCTAGTAGTGGCAATTTTGTTCACCTTTCCCTATTGGATCTGAGTAAAGTAAATGCTTCAGACATGATCTTTCTTGTCTTCTGACTTCAGTCACTCTACTTAGCTGTCAGGAGGCAAATCTAGGCTTCTGTTGTTTTATTTTAACAGGAAATGTTAATCTCTTCCCACTGCTGTCTGGAAGCCAGGATTTCTGTACAGCTTTTTGAATTACAGGCCTAATACTCTGAATCTCTTTGTAAAATCTTTTTTCATTTAGATAGCTACACAGAACTGCACAAATACATTACCTGCATATGTCTGAGTATGGCAGTGCATCTTGTTTGCTGTTCATCATACTAAAATAAAGTTTACTTCCTTGTAGAAGAGCTCTGTAACAAAATCACCCTTTTAAACTGTTTTCTAGTGAATAAACTATCATGTTTTTTTTTTTTTATTTTGCAAAAACATCAAAATTGAAAGGATGGTATTTTTACAGAGACTTGTAACTATTAAGCATTTATATTTAATTTTTGGTATTGAGTATTGTAGTGTGTCAGTGAAGTTTGCAGTAGGTGACACGAGTTGGGTTGCATTTTGTTCTGAAAATGTTTTGAAAATAGTTGTGATATAAAAATTGCAGAAAGGACACAGCAAATGTGCACGGTGTGTGGTGGGGCAGGAAGGAAATGATGGCAGACCAATAGCTTACTTAAAGGAATGGAGGAGGAGGAATAGTGTGAGCTTTTGTTTCTGTTTATTAGCTTGTCAAATTTTTGTTAGCTTGTCATCTTTACACTCATAGGTTAAAGTTGAAATTTTTTTTTCCTGTCTCAGGCCGAAATACCAAGCCCCTCTGGGAGGTACTTTAAAGAGACTGTGATAATAATCAATAGGTGGCTACTTGATTCAAGGGCAGGATTCTACTTTATGTTACGTTCTTGTGAAGAGTCTTGCATCAGTGTTGCCTGTAAATTCCTTAATGTTACTTTGTATTGCTTTTCTAATTTTTGGCAAAGCTGATAGAGAGCAACAGTAAAATGCAGGAACTGACATTGTTGAGCATTCAGGTTTAGAAGGAGCAACTGATAAGTAAGCTCTGATTTATGAGAAGTTTTCTAAGCTTTATTTGGACTTGCTTTGGTTTGACTATTATCTTTATGACTGAAAGAATAAAAAGATGATGTTTCTTTAATACATTCTTTGATGTATGGTAAACCTAAACTCTTCTGTTTATTTTTTTAAGTCTAATTCATATGTTTTTGTTTTATTTTTCAGAATTTAAACAAACAAGCCTATGATTTGGCAAAGGCTTTGCTTAAGAGGACAGCACAAGCAATTGAACCATATATTACTAATGTAAGTATGTACATTACATACTTTGTGCAAACAAAGACTGGAAATAAATAGATTTTCCAGTAGTAAGCTGTGTTATGAAAAGAATGAATTGCTGAAAGTCACAGAGTCATAGAATGGCCTGGGTTGAAAAGGACCTCAAAGATCATCTAGTTTCAGCCCCC